GAACTACCCAGTCGGAGTCCAGATCTTCCCGAATCTGAGTGATTTTGTCATACAGATATTGAACAAAATCCTCGGCTCTACCCTCCAAGGGGTCCTCCCGCGCTTCCTGGTGGAGCAGGGAGCGGGTCACCCTAAACAGAGTGGCCGGGCGATTATCTGATGATGCAGTAAGATCAGCAAAATATGTACATTTTGCTGCTTTTACTGCCACTAGGTAATTCTTAATATTAATATTCTTAATATGAGATCTTACCAGTGTCTGGTCGGATTCAGAAAGACTGGCCCTCCAACTACTCTCTAGGCATCTTTTCCGGCGCTTCATCTCCCTCAGCTCCTCAGTGAACCTAGTCGAGGCATGTGCCAGAGCCTCAGGAAATGGCCCAAGCTCCATCTGGAATCTATCAGGTTCCATCAGGCGCCTGGGGCGGAACCATCTTACCGGCTCCGGTCAAGGCGAAGGAGAGAGTGATCCGACCATGACAAGGGCTCGGTGACTATATCCCCTATCTCAAGATCACTCAACCACTGTCCAGAGACAAAAATCAGGTCCAGCGTGTTTCCCCCTGTGTGGGTAGGGCCATGAATTAACTGGGTCAGGTCCATAGCTGTCATGGAAGCCATGAACTCCCAAGCCACCTCTGACGTCTCACCCACAGATGGCAGGTTGAAATCCCCCATGACCATAAGTCTGTGGTCTGTTTAGGGTGACCCGCTCCCTCCTCCATCTGGAAGCGCGGGATGATCCCTTGCAGGGTCGAGCTGAGGACTTTGTGCAGTATCTGTATGACAAAATCGCTCAGATTCGGGAAGGGCTGGCCTCTGACTGGGTATGTCCGGACGGGATGACTGAGGCAGGTCTTGAGAGTGTTATCTGGGGGGAGTTCGATCCTGTGGCTCCCGAGGACATGGACAGGGTCCTGGGACGGCTGAACGCGACCACATGTTTATTGGACCCGTGTCCCTCCTGGTTGGTATTGGCTTCCCGGGAGGTGACACGAGGCTGGCTCCAGAAGATTGTTAACGCTTCTTTGAGTGAGGGGGTCCTGCCGGCCGCTTTGAAAGAAGCGGTTGTGAGGCCCCTCCTCAAGAAGCCCTCTCTGGATCCGGCTGTTTTGGCTAACTATCATCCAGTCTCCAACCTTCGCTTCGTTGCGAAGGTTGTTGAGAGTTGGTGGCGCAACAGCTTCCCCGGTACCTGGATGAAGCTGTCTATCTAGACCCGCTCCAGTCCGGCGGGTGGATGATCTCTGGAGGGCTCAGGATAGGGGTTGCTCCTCTATCCTGGTCCTGTTAGACCTCTCAGCGGCTTTTGATACCATCGACCATGGTATCATGTTGCACCGGTTGGCGGGATTGGGGGTGGGGGGCACCGTTCTGCGGTGGTTCTCCTCCTACCTCTCTGACCGGTCGCAATCTGTGTTGACGGGGGGGCAGCGGTCGACCCCGAGGCACCTTGCTTGTGGGGTGCCACAAGGGTCGGTCCTCTTGCCCCTTCTATTCAACATTTATGTAAAGCCGCTGGGTGAGATCATCCGTGGCTTCGGGGTGGAGTACCATCAGTACGCTGATGACACCCAGCTGTACATCTCCACCCCAGACCACCCCTTGAAGTGATGTCCCAGTGCCTGGAGGCCGTGTGGGCCTGGATGGGGAGGAACAGGCTCCGCCTCAACCCCTCCAAGACCGAGTGGCTGTGGCTTCCAGCGTCCCGATATAGTCAGCTGACGCCATCGCTGGCTATTGGGGGCGAATCACTCGCCCCCACAGAGAGGGCTCGCAACTTGGGCGTCCTCCTGGATGCACGGCTGTCTTTAGAAGATCATTTGACGGCCGTGGCCAGGGGGCTTTTTATCAGGTTCGCCTGATATGCCAGTTGCGCCCCTTTCTAGATCGGGACTCTCTACGCACAGTCACTCAGGCACTAGTCACTTCCCGCCTGGACTACTGCAACGCTCTCTACATGGGGCTCCCGGAGGCTCCAGCTGGTCCAGAACACGGCCGCGCGGGGGATTATGGGGGGGACGAGGCGCTCCCATGTGACACCTCTCCTGCGCGAGCTGCACTGGCTCCCGGTGGTCTTCCAGGTGCGCTTCAAGGTGTTAGTGACCACCTTTAAAGCGCTCCATGGCTTAGGGCCGGGGTACTTACGAGACCGCCTTCTGCCACCAATAGCCTCCCACCGGCCAGTACGCTCGCACAGAGTGGGCCTCCTCAGGGTGCCGTCCGCCAGACAATGTCGGCTGGCGACCCCCAGGGGGAGAGCCTTCTCTGTGACGGCGCCCACCCTCTGGAACAACCTTCCCCCAGAGTTACGTACAATAACAGACCTCCGGATTTTTCGTCGGGCCCTGAAAACCTATTTATTTCAACTAGCTGGGCTGGCTTGAGCTAAATTTTAAATTGATTTTAAATTGGGTTGTTTTAATTTACGGCCAAAATATTTAATTATTTTAATACTGTTTTTTAAATTTTGTATGCTCTGTTTTTACTTTGGCTGTGCACCGCCCTGAGTCCTATTTGGAGCAGGGCGGTATAGAAATTTAATAAATAAATAAATAAATAAATAAAAGTCTGGGGGTATCAACCACCACCGCGGCGATAATGTCGAGGAGTTTGGGCAGGGTTGCTGCCACGTGGCAGGGAGCCAGGTACGTGATCAGCAAGCCCATCTGAACCCCATGACCCCACTTCACAAGGAGGGACTCACAGCCGGCCGCCTGAGGAACAGTTTGATTCTGTGACTCCCGAAGACATGGACAGAATACTGAGTAGAGTGAGCGCGGCCACATGTTTATTGGACCCATGCCCCTCCTGGTTGGTGCTGGCCTCTCAGGAGGTGACGCGAGGCTGGCTCCAGGGGATTATAAATGCTTCTCTGAGTGACGGTGTCTTCCCCGCCGCCTTGAAAGAGGCGGTGGTGAGACCTCTCCTCAAGAAGCCTTCCCTGGACCCAGCAGTATTGGCTAATTACCGTCCAGTCTCCAACCTTCGCTTTGTTGCGAAGGTTGTTGAGAGTGTGGTAGCACGACAGCTCCCCCAGTACCTGGATGAATCGGCTTATCTGGATCCGTTCCAGTCGGGCTTCAGGCCTGGGTACAGCACAGAAACGGCATTGGTCGCATTGGTTGATGATCTCTGGAGGGCTCGGGACAGGGGTTGCTCCTCTGTCCTAGTCCTATTAGACCTCTCAGCGGCTTTTGATACCATCGACCATGGTATCATGCTGCACCGGCTGGAAGAGTTAGGGGTGGGAGGCACCGTGTTGCGGTGGTTCTCCTGCTTCCTCTCCGACCGGTCGCAGTCAGTGTTGGCAGGGGGGGCAGAGGTCGACCCCGAGGCCCCTTGTATGTGGGGTGCCACAAGGGTCAGTCCTCTCGCCCCTTCTGTTCAACATTTATGTGAAGCCGCTAGGTGAGATCATCTGTGGTTTCGGGGTGAAGTACCACCAGTACGCTGATGACACCCAGCTGTACATCTCCACCCCGGACCACCCCAATGATGCCCTTGAAGTGATGTCCCGGTGCCTGGAGGCTGTACGGATCTGGATGGGGAGGAACAGACTCAGGCTCAACCCATCCAAGACCGAGTGGCTGTGGTTTCCGACATCCCGATATAGTCAGTTGGTGCCATCACTGACTATTGGGGGCGAGTCGTTGGCCCCCACGGAGAGGGCTCGCAATCTGGGCGTCCTCCTGGACTCACAGCTGTCTTTAGAAGAGCACTTGACGGCTGTGGCCAGGAGGGCGTTTTATCAGGTTCGCCTGATTCGCCAGTTGCGTCCCTTTCTGGATCGGGACTCATTAAATACGGTCACTCATGCCCTCGTCACTTCCCGCCTGGACTACTGCAATGCTGTCTACATGGGGCTCCCCTTGAGGAGCACCCGGAGGCTCCAGCTGGTCCAGAATGCGGCCGCGCGGGTGGTTATGGGAGCGATGGGGCACTCCCATGTGACCCCCCTCCTGCGCGAGCTGCACTGGCTCCCGGTGGTCTTCCGGGTGCGCTTCAAAGTTTTGGTGACCATCTTTAGAGTGCTCCATGGCTTAGGACGGGGTATCTACAAGACCACTTTCTGCCACCAGTAGCCTCTCACCGACCAGTATGCTCCCATAGAGAGGGGCTCTTCAGGGTGCCGTCGGCCAAACAGTGTCGACTGGTGACCCCCAGGGGGAGAGCCTTCTCTGTGGGGGCACCCGCCATCTGGAACGAGCTCCCCCCGGAGATACGGAGGATCCCAGACCTGCGCGTTTTCCGCCGTGCCATCAAAACATTTCTTTTCCAGTAGGCCGGCCTGGCCTAACCTCTCTTTTAAACTGTTTTTTAAAATTTTTTAAATTTTAAATTTGTCTTATGAATTTGGGGTGTTTTAAATTTCGCTTTCCGGGCCAATTATTTAATTGTATTTTAATGGTTTTTTAACATTTGTATTATATGTATTTTATTTGGCTGTCCACTACCCTGAGTCCTTCGGGAGTAGGGCGGTATACAAATTCAATAAATAATAATAATAATTTTCTAGTAAAAGTACCTTTCTCCATAAACAATGGAGTTTGAAGGAAGCACACGTGACAGTAAGGCTTACTATGAGGATGATTGAACCCACATCAAAACACATTGCTACTTTTCAGCAATGAGAGCAGCAAAGAAACATTTATCTTGCAAAGCTTGCTGCATCATCAAATATTATCAATAATCACCTAATTGGAATTTGTGTTAAAGCAAGTGACACGTGCCATTCCTTCAACATTCAGAGAGGATCATCTGACAGCACCATAATTTCAATGCCAAGCAAAGATTTTCAAAGGCTTCTTAATGTATACTTTTACTGTTTTTATTCAAATTGTTTTAACTGCCCAAGCTTTTATCATTTTATATTTCATGCCATCTTTTAGACTGAGGCTGTCAATAAATTTCATAAACAAAGAAAATAGTTTTGTTATTTTCATTCTCTCCCACCCTCAAAAACTGAACATGTTCCCACATTCACAGTAATTTGCTACCTGTATCAGCAGACTTTAGCTGTCCTCCACCATGGATATGATTCAGGAGATGATATAGTAGCTTCCAGAATATTAAACTCTGTTTAAAATAGAGAACACTGAAGACATTTGCTGTACTTTATATGACTTTGCTTGAATCCCCCAACCTTTATCCCATTCTATCCCCTTATCAAATATACAAATTCTAGATGGTTTTTCTTTAAAATAAATCCTTTTTAAACCTCCAATAATAACAAATTTATGACTAGACTCAGAAAACCAAGTAGGTCTGGTTTGGCTAGTACTTGAATGGGACTTCATCAGGGAGTATCAAAGCTGCAAGGTAGATTGGAAGGTTGAAAAAATTCAGAAAAACTCAATGGCAAATCACATCCAATTGATACATCAAGAAAAGTACATGGTATATCTATGCAATTACTAGAAGTTGAGCTTGACATGAACTTATGGGGAAAGAAGATACCCTTTCTTAAAGTGACAAATTACAGCCATAAAAATAAAGGACTAGTGGAATGACACGCCCATCAATTAATAGCAGTGCCAAATCTGTCACCTGAGAGCAGATGAGATATAATACAAGTTAGTTTGAGTGCAGTAATTCTTTTCCATTTTCAAATCTATTTTTTCTGAAATATCTAAATATCTGAAATATCTATTTGGATCTATGCCCATAATTTCCTAAACCCCACCCCTTTCCCCTCCTTCTGTTCAATCACATCCAATTTTCAGAGACTAAGTCAGACTGACTGGACAAGTCCTGCAATTTTTCTTGGCAAACTTTTTCAGAAGTGATATGCCTTTGCTCCTTCCTAAGGTTTAAAGTTACTCAATTGGCTTTGTACCAAGGAAGAACTGAAACAGTCTCTGAGTTTCTAGCTTAATGTCTTAATCATTACACCAAATTGACTCTCAAAAATCCATTTGTTGTTAACTTTTCATATGTATTTCTTTCCCAAATTTTTTTATCCTGAGGTGTTATGTATTTATATCCTTTATTATTTTTTATAAATAATTCAAAATTATTAAGACTCCTTATTCCACCTATTCTCTTCAAAAAGACACTGTAAGGTGAGTTGGGCTGGGCAAATGATTCGCCCAAAGTCACCCAGCAGCTTTCATACCTAAGGTAGGAGTAGAACTCACAGTCCCTTGGTTTATACCTTAGATGAAACTTGTTCCCACTGTTGTGGTGGTAAAAAAATGAATCTAAGCAATATAAGCAAAAGTACATTCTCTCACACACAAAGCAAAATAGGAGGAAGGAATATTGGGTATCTTTTCCACCTTGAGTTACTTATAAAATAAATAATAGCAAGCATGCAAGCTTATCTGTATTCATATCCATCCATCCATGCAAGCAAGCAAGCAAGCAAGCAGCTTTTCTAGATTCTAATTCAATTGTAAGGGTCAAAACATAAACAGTAATAAATTGTTTGATTCATAAAGTACCATCAGATATTGGTTTTTTTCTTAAAATGGTATTTAAGAGTTAGGTACCTTTTATGGCTCCCCAACTGATTGCCATTGAAAGTGCAGATTATCCAATTAAATAATAAACAGAATAAGCATATTTCAACTGCAGAATGTTCAAAGCAAGTAATGATGATTTTGGAGAATATTGAAACTGAATTAATTCAGAGATATAATTTTCATATTTCAATGTATCAACAAATGTGCATCTAGTATCTATATATTAGCGCGACACATGCATTTTGGGGTATATTCACAAGTGAATATAATTTTTAAACTTCATCAGCTGTTTATAGATGGAATGTTTTTTGTATTTTACCACGATTTTACATGTTTTATTGTTTTCTCTTCTTACATGGTGCACTCTATTCACCTATGCGTTACCAAATTTCTCTTAAAAACATTAGCAGCAGCTGACAAAATAAATTAGTACATTGGAGTTTTAAAAACTCGAGCCTCTCAATAAGCATGGTTATACTATCTCTGTTGAACACGTAAAATCAGCTCTGTGCAGTCGGAAGCTCAGAAGAAATAAGTGAGACTGTTTCCTAGGATATATTCCCTGAAAGGAAGAAAGCCCTCTTCAGAGAAAAACACCATCGCTTGTCATTTTCTGCTGAAAAGCTACATTGGGCCAACCAGACGCTTTTCCTAGTCTATCCGCCCAATCCCGCCTCCATTCGGCGGGAGGGCTACTAGTCAAAGGCAGCAGTTACCCTACGACGGCTTAACCGCTTAAAGATGTTTGGGTTGCAACAACTCCCAGAATTCCCCAGCCCTACACATTTTAAAAGTATACGCGGCTGAGACATTTTGTCCTACACTGTTTGAGGTCTAGTCTCGTTTTTTAAACTGCCTAGTATGTCTCGCACAAACAGTGCCGGTAAACAGAAATTCGTGCTCAGTGCCTGAACTTGCCACCCAGTTAGGATGAGAGCGGCCAGGAGCGTATAGAGAATCGCTTCCCCTTTCCCCTACTCACCACCTGAGGTTGATCGAACTTGGCTTGCCGGAAAGTCTCTGGAGAAACGTGCGAGCAAGGCAGGCTCAGGCTCAGGCTCAGCGCTGCAATAGCTGCAGGCAGGTAAGCGGATGCCGGTCGTTGGCAGTTCATTATCTTCTTTATTGGGCTTATTTCCGCCCTTCTCTCTCAAAAGCGGCACGAAGTTATGGGGCTTGACAGGAAGTAAGCGTCAAGTGCGCATGCACAGCAGTGAATCTGAAGTTCAGTGGCTTCCCGATGCCCTCATCATGCTCTTTACCATAGAGAAAAAGAGAATGAAGCACGAAACACCTTTCTCCTTTTCTCATCCAGGAAAATATAATATTCTGTCGTTATAATATTTCCTAGAATATTTCATTCTTCTAGGAGATGGGTGGGTGCTAACTTTCTTACACCTTGTAAATAGTTGATTGATAATTCAAACTGTACAATTTGTACTATATAGATAACTATAAAAGCTATTTTTATTGCACCATTTTTTATTTTATTTTGTAGGAAGTTAGCACTCATCCCTCTCCTAGAAAAATGAAATATTTTAGGAAATATTAAAAAGGCAGAATATATTTCCCTGGATGAGAAATGGAGCAACACGTTTTAAAGACGAAGCAGCTCCCACCTTCCTGCCACTCTCCCCCCTCCCCCCCACCCCACCCCCAATGGGCCAGAGGCAGAAACTCAATTCCCTCCCATCTTTGTCAATGGACCATCATCTGCAACACAATAGGACCCATCTAGCAACAGAAACTCACCACATGGCACCTGGGAAGATTGCATCAGCCAGCAAGGCTAGCTAAAACCCCCACCCCCTGGGAGTCTGACAACCAATCAGGATACTCTTTCAGGGCCCCAGGAAGTTCAAAGCCAGAGAGGGCATAAACCCCAGTGTTGAATCCTCACGGCTACGACTCCACTCCGGCTACGAATAGAACACCCAGGGACTCCCAGCATCTCTGCCCTTTTCTGTTCAGGAACTCAAACCATGTGATCCTGTCCACCATTAAACCATCTTTCCAAGCAGTCTCCATGTTTCCAGTGTCTTTTTCCCCACTTGGAGCTGAACCCAGAAGGATATTTCTTCTAACAGTTTTTATTTTATTTTATTTTTATTTTATTTTTTATCAAGTTGTTTTCAAAATACCACTTTTCTACTCCCAGGTATAGAAAGCACTCACATTTTAGGAAATATTAAAAAGGCAGAATATTATATTTTATCTAAAGGAGAAACATTTCTAAGGACAGAAACTCAGAGCTTCACTCCCTACCCCCAGCAGATATTTGGTGCTTATTGAGAAAGATGGGGGCAAAAGAATATTTTGTAGAACTAAATAAAACAATTTTAAAATTAATTTGGTGAGGGAAGAAAGCCTGAATAAAACTTAAACTCTTACATGATAGTAGAAATAAGGGAGGATCCGGACTCCCAGATTGGAACTTTATCATCAAGCGGCAGCCATAATATGGCTTAAGGATCACGGCCATCAGATGGTCAGCTAGCGACAGCCGAGAATCCAGGAGGACGCCAAGATTGCGAACCCTTTCTGAGGGAGTAAGCAACTCCCCTCCCATCACAAGTGATGGGGCCACTAGATCAGAGGATGCCGGCATCCACAGCCACTCCGTCTTGGAGGGGTTGAGTCTGAGCCTGTTCCTACCCATCCAGACCTGTACCGCCTCCAGGCACTTCAACATCACGGAAAGAGCATCCCTAGGTTGGTCAGGGGTGGAGATATACAACTGGGTATCATCAGCATATTGCTGATACCTCACCCCGAAACCACGAATGATCTCTCCCAGTGGCTTCATATAGATGTTGAAGAGCAGGGGGGAGAGAATCGATCCCTGAGGTACCCCACAAGTGAGGGGCCTTGGGGAGGATCTCTGTCCCCCTGCCCAAACAAATTGTGTACGACCCAAAAGGTAGGAGAACCACTGTAGCACAGTGCCCCCAACCCCCAACCCCCTGAGCCATCGCAATAGGATACCATGGTCGATGGTATCAAAAGCCGCTGAGAGGTCAAGTAGGACCAGGATAGAGGAGTGGCCTCTATCTCTGGCCCACCAGAGATCATTCACTAGGGTGACCAATGCCGTTTCCGTGCTGTGTCCGCGCCTGAAGCCCGATTGGTACAAGTCTAGATAGTCCGTTTCCTCCAGGAATTGTGGAAGTTGGTGAGCGACCAGACTCAACAACCTTCGCTATAGAGGACTAAAGTTGTTCAAAATGGCCGGATCCATTGAGGAGTGGTCGAACCATCCTCCTTAAGGATGGTCGGGAAGACCCCATCCCTCAAAGAAGCATTGACAATGGCCTGGATCCAGTCACCGGTCACCTCCCTTGTTGCCGCAACGAGCCAGGAGGGACACAGGTCCAACAAACATGTGGAAGCTCCCAATCTACCCACAATCCTGTTCACTTCCTCAGAGGACACAGGGTCAAAATCAACCCAGATATTACCTTCAAGACTCGCTCCTGTCTCCTCGCTCGGTCCTGCCCAGTCGGAGTCTAGACCTAACCGGATCTGAGCGATTTTATCTTGGAGAAATTGCACAAAATCCTCAGCATTGCCCTGCAAGGGGTCCTCCCTCGCTCCCTGATTAAGAAGAGAGCGGGTCACTCTAAACAAGGCCGCTGGGCGGTTTTCTGCAGACGCAATGAGAGTGGCAAAATAATCACGTTTCGCTGCTTCCATCACCACAAGATAAGACCTAATGTAGGTTCTTAACTGTGTTTGGTCAGATTCAGAACGAGAAGATCTCAAACAGCCCTCTAGGTGTCTCTTCCGACGCTTCATCTCCCTGAGTTCCTCGGAGAACCAAGGAGCCGCACAGGATCCCTGTCGGAGAAGAGGCCGCAAAGGGGCGATTTGATCCAGTGGCCCGGCGGCTGCCTGTTCCCAGGCTTCCACCAGGGCCGTCTCTCAAATCGTGGGATAGGTATGTGGGAAAAGTCCCAAGCTCCATCCAGAACCTCTCAGTCATCAGGCACCTGGGGCGGAACCATTTAGTCGGTTCCGCCTCCCAGCGATGGGGGTTGGCGGATGGAAAGTCCAGTTTAAGGAGGGAATGGTCGGTCCATGATAGGGGAAAAATAGTGAGGATTCCCCTACCCCGAGTATTTATCCACTGCCCAGAGACAAAAATCAGGTCGAGGGTGTGTCCACCATTGTGAGTTGGACCCTGTACAATGAGTCAGGTCCATGGCCGTCATGGAGGACATGAACTCCCGGACCAGCTCAGATGTCTCACCGGCCTACGGGAAATTAAAATCTCCCACAACAATTAGGTTGGGGAGCTCGACCGTCAGTTCAGCAATGACTTCTAGCAGTGTGGGCAGAGCTGAAGATACGCAGCTGGGAGACAGGTACGTAATCAACAGACTCGACTGAACTCCAGGGTTCCATTTCAACAAAAGGGACTCACATCCGCCTATCTGAGGGACAGTGACCTCCCTAGGACTTAGACTTTCCCTAATAACCACCACCACCCCACCACCCCTTCCGTGGAGTCGCGGCTGATGTAGCACATGGAAACCCAGCGGGCATAAATCCGAGAGAGGAACCCCTCCCTCCGGTCCCAGCCAGGTCTCTGTGATACAAGCCAGTACCATTAAGGACTACTCGTTGTCAGCCAGTTACAAATCCATGTGGTGGTGATGCTGTCTATCCCATATTTTTCTAGCTTATCAAGAAGTAGGTTGTGGTCTACTTTGTCAAATGCCTTGCTGAAGTCTAAATATACTATATACTATGTCCACAGCAGAAGTGGGATTCAGCTGGTTCAGACCAGTTCTGGCAAACCAGATGTTAATAACATCTGGTTCAGTGAACCGGTAGTTCCGACAACCAGCTGGCCCCGCCCCACCCCTCCCAGGAGTCTCCACACAGCCTGTTTTGGATCCCAGGTAAGTGCAGGGGATGCGTGGAGCCTGGGGAGGTGGAGAATGGGCCTCCCAGAGGCTCATAGAGGGCGTATGGGCCTATTTCCAGCCTCCAGAGAGCCTCCGGAGCCCGGGGAGGTAGAAAACGGGCCCTTCACAGCCCGTTTTTGCTCCCAGGAGGCTGCAGGGAGGCCTACTAGGTGCCCCCCCACCCCTGCAGCCCATTTGTGCTCTCGGGGGTGCAGGAGGCTGAGTGCTGCCTGTCAAACACCCTGGCCACGCCCACCCTGGCCATGCCCACTCAGCCGATCATTAGGGCAGACAAACAGTTAATTTATTTGAATTCCACCACTGGTCCACAGCATTTTTTTTCCAATAATTTTTATTAAAAAAAATTTTTAAAAAAATTTTTTAAAAAAGATTTTTTTCTTCTTTACAACATTTCCACATTGGTATACTTCTATTGTGTGTTCATTTTCCCCCCTTTAATTTACCTTTAATTATACATGTGATTTCATTACTTTTTATACATATTGATATATTAGTACAGTGGTGGCTCACCTTTTTGCAGTAGCTTGCCAAAAGTGGGGGGGGGTTGCGCATGCATGTGTCCACACCCATAATTCAATGTACTCTGCACACGCAACCGCCATGCTCCCCCCCTTTTGGCACACAATGGCACAGTGGGCCTGGTAGGCCCGTTTTTCGCCCTCCCCAGGCTCCAGAGGCTTTCTTGGAGCCTGGGGAGGGTACAAACGGCCTTTCCCACCCACCCAGAGGCCCTCTGGAGGCGGGAAACAGCCCGTTTCCTGACTTCTGGTGGGACTGCAAGGCCCGTTTTTCACCCTCTCCAGGCTCCAGAGCCTTTCTAAGAGCCTGGGGAAGGTGAAAACAGCTTTCCCCACCTGCCCGGAGGCCCTCCAGAAGCCAGAAACAGACTGTTTCCCAGCTTCCGGTGGGCCCAGAAGATCCAAAAATCAGCTGCGCGTGCCGGAGCTGAGCTAGGGCAACGCTCGTGTACCCACAGATATGGCTCTGCATGTCACCTCTGGCACGCGTGCCATAGGTTCGCCATCACGGTATTAGTATATTAAATTACAATCATACATTTTGTATCATTTTCATATATACATGTTAGTTACTAACTCCTATATCTTCCTCATTTAGTCTTTCCTTAACCTTTACATCTATCCTCTAACCATCTATACCATTTATTCCATACCATGTAGTATTCTGTTTCTTCTTTATCTTTTATTTCTTTTGTGTGTCTATTCATCTCCATCTTCCTTATACATTTTCCTCTGATGGTACATTGTTATTCTTCCAATTTTGTGCGTACATTATTCTCGCTGCTGTTGTGATATGTAAAATTAAATATTGTATTTTTTCATCATAATTCCCTGTAAATATTCATAATAAAAATAATTCTGGTTTCATATCTATTTGTTGTTTGGTCCTTGTAACCATACGATGAGGCTAATTACTGGGTGCATAAAATCTATACCTAGTTACTGGTACCAGTTCTTAGTCACATACTTCCCCCGCACTTACGACGACAAGAAGCTCTCATTCGGGAGTATAGTAAGATCCTGTTAAATTCCTCTCTACCCATTCATGGATATATTCCTGATCTCTTAAGATGCCGATTAAAGTCAAGAAACCCACCACTCTTGACAGCGCTTAAGTTGATGGCCGATCATCAGAACACCACACAAAAGTGGATGGAAGCGTGGAGTAGCTATTCCCTCCAAGATATCTCTTGAGCATATTAATCCTAATACCTCCAGGTATACCTCCAGGATTTAACCTACCCCAACACATATAGGTGACATACAGTTGCAAGAAAAAGTATGTGAACCCCTTGAGATTACATGGAGTTTTGCATGAATTGGTCATAAAATGTGTTCTGAACTTCATCTAAGTCACAACAATAGAAAAACACAGTCTGCTTAAAATAATACTACACAAACATTAGATGTTGCCATGGTTTAATTGAACGTAACATGTAAACATTCACAGTGCAGGGAGGAAAAAGTATGTGAACCTTTGGACTTAATAACTGGTTGACCCTCCTTTGGCAGCAATAACCTCAACCAAACGTTTCCTGTAGTTGCAAATCAGACCTGCACAACGATCTGGAGTAATTTTGGACCACTCCTCTTCACAAAACTGTTTTAGTGTAGCAATATTCTTGGGATGTCTGGTGTGAATCGCTCTCTTAAGGTCACGCCACAGCATTTAAATCGGGTTGAGGTCAGGACTCTGACTGGGCCACTCCAGAAGGCGTATTCTGTGCTGTTGAAGCCATTTTTTTTTTTGTTGAATTACTTGTATGCTTTGGGTCATTGTCCTGTTGCATCACCCATCTTCTGCGGAGCTTCAGTTGGCGGACAGATGGTCGTACGTTTTCCTGCAAAATGTCTTGATAAACTCTGGAATTTATTTTCCCATCAATGACAACAATCCGTCCAGGCCCTGAGGCAGCAAAGCAGCCCCAAACCATGATGCTCCCTTCACCATGTTTTACAGTGGGGATGAGGTTTTGATGTTGGTGTGCTGTGCCTTTTTTTCTCCACACATAGTGTTGTATGTTCTTCCCAAACAACTCAATTTTGGTTTCATCTGTCCACAGTATATTTTGCCAGTAGTGCTGTGGAACATCCAGGTGCTCTTTTGCAAACTTCAAACGTGCTGCAATATATTTTTTTTGGACAGCAATGGCTTCCTCCGTGGTGTCCTCCCATGTACTCCATTCTTGTTTAATGTTTTCCTTATTGTAGATGTGTCAACAAAAATGTTAGCATGTGCCAGAGATTTCTGTAGGTCTTTAGCTGACACTCTAGGATTCTTCTTTACCTCATGAAGCATTCTGCGCTGTGCTCTTGCAATCATTTTTACAGGACGACCACGCCTAGGGAGAGTAGCAACAGTGCTAAACTTTCTCCATTTGTAGACAGTTTGTCTTACCGTGGACACATGAACATCAAGGCTTTTGGAGATACTTTTGTATACTTTCCAGCTTCATGCAAGTCAGCAATTCTTTTTTTTTTTTAATTGAAAAAGTTTTTCAAATACAAATTTTTCCCCCTTTCCCCCCCTCCTCCTCCCTAACCCCCCTCACCCTCCCCTTCCCCTTTGACTTCTTCATAATAAAACCCAAATTCATAACAGATTATATCATACTTTACCATCCACTTACTCCATCTCCATATGCTGACCCTTTCTTTCTAATAAAATTATCATGTCCCCCTTATACTATACTATAATATACATTTCAAAGTGACATTCTATTATAACATTATCTAATAACTCCTAATTTAACATAATATTATATCTCCTAATTTAACGATTTCCGCTCATGATCTACCCTTTTACTACCCCCATACGATATAACATTTCAAAACATACTTCCACTATAAGACTATACAATAAATCCTAATTTAACATTTATTCAGTTCAGCTACCCATTTCCTTCCCCCCCATCATTATGTCTCTTAACTCAAATCTTTTACCTATATTCACATCTAAACATAATATCCCTTTTCTTTAAACTAAACAATCAATAACCTAACCTATCTCCACCCACTTTCCTACAAAACTACCATAATTGTTCTTAATATCTTTATTCTTCTACCCACTCCACTAGAAAAATATTCCCTTATGTAAATAAAATCCTAAAAGAAAAAAACTTTAGACTTGTAATCCATATAATATCTTCTGTAATGTCTTTCAACTGGATGATAAACTCCATCGCCCATGTTAGGGTAACATCGCATCCTAATTCCAACAGTATTTTCAGTATCTTCAATTACCATCTGCCCCCATCAGTAACAAATATCTTCATATTGCAAAAAGGAAAAAAAAAAAAACCACAACAACCACCCGAGTGACTTTATATTTATATTCCATATAGTGTCTATAGAGGTGTCTAGACCACGCCTAGGGAGAGTAGCAACAGTGCTAAACTTTCTCCATTTGTAGACAGTTTGTCCTACCGTGGACACATGAACATCAAGGCTTTTGGAGATACTTTTGTATACTTTCCAGCTTCATGCAAGTCAGCAATTCTTGATTGTAGGTTTTCTGAGAGCTCTTTTCTACGAGGCATGGTTCACATCAGACAGTGCTTCTTGAAACCAGTAAACCCAAAACAGGTGTGTGTTTTTAAAGGGCAGGACAGCTGTCAGCAACACATCCAATATCATCACACTGATTGGAGTCAAGGTTGGCTCACTCCTGGCTCCAATTAGCTCTTGGAGAAGTCATTAGGCTAGGGGCTCACATACTTTTTCCTCCCTGCACTGGGAATGTTTACATGTTATGTTCAATTAAACCATGGCAACATCTAATGTTTGTGTAGTATTATTTTAAGCAGACTGTGTTTTTCTATTGTTGTGACTTAGATGAAGTTCAGAGCACATTTTATGACCAATTCATGCAAAACTCCACGTAATCCCAAGGGGTTCACATACTGTTTCTTGCAACTGTATATATATGCATTATAAGTAATACAAGAAATAGAATTTATTGTAAAGGATGAAACAACTGTTTTACACGTAAGTGTTTAGAATAGAACTTCTGGACTTTCAAATCAATATATCTATATAGCCTATATTTATATTTATTCCTTTTTATTTATGAACTAATATAAATTGGTCTTAAAGGGTCAAATCATGGGTTATTATTAAAATAATTACATCAATTTATGTATCTTATATATTTAAACAATAATTGTATATAACCTTTATATATTCACATACTTATATATACTTATACAAATAGATCTTAAAGTATAAGTTGAATCAACAACATCCAAACAGACAAAATACATACATATACATAAATATAAAGATATATTCTATGATATTTATAATCCTTACCAGGCAATGCCTACAATTACAAAATGAGGGACATACTAAATGCCATAGAACTATCTGGAGTTAGGAGGAAAAAAAACTGGCACGCTGCTGACTTTTAACAAGAAGGGGACATTGGAACTAGAGGTGATTCATTTTTGTTTTTATTTTTTATTTTTTTTACAAAGCAATAATAAAAATTACATGAGAGAAATGTTTAAAGACATCTCAGGAAGTCACCAGAATGGATGCTGCCTAGGCTCTGCAGATCCAGCCAAGGTGCTGGAAAGCGGAGTAAACAGTTGTCCCTGCCAAACACAGATGTGCAATGGAACCGAGGACTCCACGATTTCGCTTACTAGGATCTATAAAATAAGACAGAATATTCATATGGCGTAATACAAATAGCAACATTAGTAACTAATGTGCAAAATAAATTTGTTGAAATGCTTTTTTTTCATCCAATAAGTTTTTCTAGATGCTTCAAGGAAATTGTCATTTTCATATACAAAAGAGCGCCCTTCACAGAAATAAGGTCATTACTTATTTATATGATATTACAGACTATCTTGGGCAATCTTCTATGTGTCATTTTTGTTATGTGACTCTCTTACTAACTTGCAATTCCTACATGCTTTCCACTCATGGCACATGCTTTCCAATTTTAAATAAAGGACTTAGTATCTGCATAGCATTTTTAACTCATGAAGTATTATTTCCCCAAACACTAGCCCTAGTAGGATGGTCACTTCTACATTTTTGATAGCTGGCTGAGTACAAGAAAAAGCTAGGCAACTAGACATTCAGATATATACATTCAAGTTTTCCTCTTCTCTGTTTCTCTAATCATGATTTTCATTCTATTCCCTAGGGATGTTGTGGTCTGCCAGCAGCCTGCAGAGCTGGCAGTGGAGTCGGACAGTGAGGAGACTGGGAGGAACATGGGCCAGTCCTGGAGTCTGGGAAGGCTCGGATGAGGGCTCTGCATCAGAGGCAGAGATGGGGCCAGGGCCATCTGGGAGTTATGCGTGGACTACGGAGCCTCCAGAGTCAGACATCAGAGAGGCAGAGGAACAGGAGGAGCCTGTTCCTAGTGCGCGCATGCGTAGAGCTGCCAAAAGGCACGAACAGTTAAAACAAAAGGGATGACTTGGGAGTAAGGCCTGGAGATGATTGGCCCCTTCCCATAAGGCTTAAAAGAAGAGCAAAGGCACGTGGGCTCTTTGCAGGAAAGCAAAGTTGTTAATTCTGTTCCCAGTCGGCATCTCTGTTTGATTCTGGACTCCGTGTGGCTTTGCCAAATAGGTCTTTGGCAGCATGTCAAGGGAGATAAAGGTTGGTGATTATCCCAAAGGACTTCTCCCTAAGGACTTTTTGCAACTAATTGGGACTCAGCTGTGAATGAATGTAATTCACAGCTGTTGCAATAAAAGAAGATTTTTGGGACTACTCGTGTGTTTTAATGACTCAGGAAGCCTTGGTCACAACAAGGAAATACTAACACATGAACTTCATTCACTAATAATATTACACTAGTCTATAGTTTAATATAATGTGCAAATTCACTATCACATAGCACTATGGATAGATAAACCCAAGATCTTATTTTTGACTTGAATGTTTTCTAGGAATAATACAGTCTATATAGATCCATTATATAGTGCAAGCCAGATTTTAAAGCAAAATTTGCTGAATAAACAAAGAACAACCTAGAATCACCCTGGAATCATAATGCACACAGCCAGATTAAAATACATGCCTTAGCAAGATTCATGATCCAGTCGTTCTAAATCTGGTGATGTTGGTTTTAACAATAACATTTAAAAATTTTTTAAAAAATGCTTTGACACAATATGTGAATTTAGCCTCATTTAACCAATAAATAAAGTCCTAATGGTCTAGGTAAATTAATTCCAGGTAGGGTGGATAAAAATCAATGATTTTTTTTAAAAAAATAAAAAAAAATCAGATTTTTTTTATTTAAATCAGATTTTTTTAAATAAAATGCTTTTTGAGGAAAATATATTACCATCCAAAGGTTATTCCATCATGAAATAAAGATTAGTTTTTTAATTATGTAGAATAAGGCTGTATATATTTAATTTTTTTGGTAAATAAATTCCATTCATCCATTCACAATGTCATGCTCTTCCAGAGGTTTTTGTAAGATTATTGGGCAGTTTCTCTGCCTACAAGATATTATCACAGATGCTTGGTTTACTTTTGCAGTTCTCAAAACTGAATTTGACTCAGCAGAGATCACATGCCTCTTCTTCACAGCAAAAATGTTATAACATGAACAGAGTTGAGAAAAAGACCTTAATCCTATTGTTCTACAAACCTATAAATACAGAATCAATCCCTTCAGTGCTAAGTTTCAAGAAGTTCAGTGAATAGAATAGAAACAATATTTTTCTGATTGGAGTGGAATAGATCTGCACAAGAAGAAAATGAAACTAAGTGTGAGGAGAAAGGGGCAAGCAGACAAGCAGTACAAAATGAAAGTGAAACTTTCTGAGCACAATACTGCACAGCCACAGATAGACAAGTCTGTGGATCTTTTTGTGTGTATGACCTGAGGTTTATCACATTCTTTCCTTGGAGGAAAAAACCTATAATGGCAACAGGCCGTAAATCCAGTTTGGCAATATTTTAATGAAGTTCCTTTACCTATCGGTAAGGCAGGCATGCGTGCAAACTGCAAACACTGCAACAAAGAAATGCAAGGCCTGGTGGCCCGAATGAGGCAACATCATGAGAAGTGCTGTGATGAAGATGACCAAAGAAACACATTTGAACAGACAGGATCTTCAGGTTAGTAAACATTTTTATTGAATCATATTTCTAAAGACTGCCTTGAACTGTCATGTTTGAGCAAAATTATATTTCTTATTATTACTGCATGTTAGTCATTTGGTACAGTTATGAAGAAAAGCAAATATTCCTTTTGGGGCAGTGCTGTGTACAATAAGCAGAAATTGTATAAACAATAAAATAACAGCATTGACTTTTTTGTTTAGGGGAATTCATGGATTCTGGAAACTATCCACCTTCAAGATCACCATCCTCCTGTTCTACACTTTCAGAGTTATCCATCCAGGATAGTGCTTCATTAGCATCATCATCATCAGACACCCACAGCCACATATCACTATCACCTAAAAGAAAGAAAAAACCCTTCCCTCCTGGAACCACCAAAGATAAGTTTGTGATAAAAACTAGCAGATTAGAAAAAGAGTTAATTGATGAAAAAATTGCCCAGTTTGTTTATGCAACGAACTCTTCTTTCCGTCTGACTGAGAACCCATATTTTATTAATATGGTTCAGTCACTGAGACGAGGATACAGTCCACCCAGCAGGGCAGATGTTGCAGGGAAACTGCTGGATAAAGTGTATGACAGAGAAATGGAGCAATGTGCAACAGCTCTGGAGGGTAGAATTGTTAACCTAAGTATTGATGGGTGGAGTAATGTCCACAATGATCCTATTGTGCTTGTATAACAACAGAAGAAGGGAAAGTCTTCCTTGCACAAACAATTAATACGTCAGGAAATGCACACACAGCAGAATACTTACAAGAAGTGGCAGTAAAAGCTATAACAACATGTGAACAAAAATTCAAATGTCTAGTACGCAGTTTGGTCACAGACAATGCTGCAAATGTATCCAAGATGAGAAGAAATTTAGAAGAGCAGGAAGGGAATACAAAGCTAATAACATATGGTTGCAGTGCTCATTTGCTGCACCTTAGACAAAGACTTAAGTGTTCCAGAAATAAAGACTAATGTTGTTGAAATTGCTAAATACTTCCGTAACGATCATTTTGCTGCAGCAGCTCTGAAAAAGATGGGTGGAACCAAGCTAACGCTCCCACAAGATGTTAGATGGAACTCTGTGGTGGACTGTTTTGAGCAGTATATCAAGAACTGGCCTATTCTGATGACAGTTTGTGAAGAAAATCGAGATAAAATAGATGGCACTGTCACAGCCAAAATCCTCAACATTGGGCTTAAGAGAAATGTTGAACATATGCTGAGCATCCTGAAACCCATCTCTGAAGCTTTAAACAAAATACAGAAAAATAGCTGTTTTATTGCTGATGCTGTTGAAATTTGGAAGGAACTGAGTGAACACTTAAAAACAGAACTACACATGGACAGAATTAAATTACAAGCATTAAAAAAACGAATGGGACAAGTACTGCCTCCAGCTCATTTTTTGGCAAATATTGTCAATATCCAGTATCAGGGTCAAAACTTAAGTGCTGAGGAAGAGGAGTTAGCTATGACATGGGTATCCAGCAATCATCCATCTGTAATGCCAACTATAATAAACTTCAAAGCTAAGGGGGAACCATTCAAGAAATATATGTTTGCTGAAGATATTTTAAAGAAAGTCACACCAGTGAACTGGTGGAAGTCACTTAAGCACTTGGATTTAGAGACTCTTCAAGTAATGATTTCACTTTTAACAGCAGTAGCTTCTTCTGCAGGCGTTGAAAGAATATTCTCTTCCTTTGGACTCATTCATTCTAAATTGAGAAATCGTTTGGGACCCGATAAAGCAGGAAAGCTTGTTTTTCTTTTCCAGATTATGAACAAAGAAGAAGATAAAGATGACGAGTGAGCTACAGAGGACAGTATTTAAGTTTTTCATGTGTAGGCTGGGCTGACAGTCTAAGTTTCTTAAAATATATATTTTTTGTTTAGCCAAATTAGTTAACAAACATGGATGTTTGTTTAAGCAAATAACATATGCTGTAATGTTATTGTTTCAGTCGAATAAATCTATTTAAATTGTTATTATTAAGGTAATGATTATTTTTTTCCTTCCTAAGTACAACAGAAAAGTTGTCCAAATATGAATGATTAACCTATTAAACTGGGGATAAAAAAACTAATATGAAAAGTTGTTATTCTAAAAATCTTCATCTACTTGCATATTAGTTATACCAGCAAGAATTGGTCTTTATGTAGAAAACTATGATTTAAATCAAGCCTTACTGACTAGTGATTTAAATCATGATTTAAATTAGTTTGATTTAAATCAAATCCACCCTGATTCTAGGTACGTTTTTCCCTATTTCTTTCCATTTTCTGGGGAAAATATAGGACCAGCTATATTAGGGGTGTCAAACTCAAGGCCCGCGGGCCAGATCCGGCCCGTGGGGTGCTTAAATCCAGCCCCCATGGCCCAACTGGAAATATCAAAGGACCAGCCAGCAGTGCCTCTGGCAGCTAAAACAGGTGGTATGCGCCCCGCCTCGTTTTCACCCTCCATGTCTTCCTGCAGCACTCTGCTGGCCCAAAAACAGGCCCAAAACAGCCCAAAAATGGGCCCCCAAATGGTCCGAAAACAGGCCACGTGGCTCGTTTTCGGTCAGCAAAATGCTGCAGGAGGCCATGGAGGGTGAAAATGAGGTGCATGGGGGCCATGCACAAACTCCCCGCACCCCGTTTTGGCTGGCAGGGTGCTGCAGGAGGCATCCGCCCCGCCCCCTCCCCCTGCCGGCCCGCAGAGGAGAACTACAATGCTGATCTGGCCCTCGAAGAAATCCAGTTTGACAACCCTGAGCTATATCGTCTAAAAATAAACTTAAATTATGAATTCAGACTAATCTTGACATAACCCAGATTTTGTAAAACAGTATATGGATGTCAAGTGAAGCAGGAGTTTATAAACACCACCAGTTGAAAACAGCTTTGCAAGAAATGACATATTTGTAATTCTCAATACAAGGACTCACCTCCTGTGTAATAGCCATAAGCATAGAGTATTCTTCCAATTATCCATGCTATACCAAGTCCTGTAGCAACATGCTATGAAGAATAATTGCACATGAAAGGATGTTTAAAATTAAATGGATATTAAACGGACAGTTTGTCAGTACAATTAGGATTTATACTGTGGGAGAATCATTCTGGAAAGATGTGGTTATAATACCTAAGAAAGTAAATAATGACAGGTAGAAAACATAAAGCTTACTCCACTATTTCATTTGCTCCAGATTCCTTTTAACATCCTGTATCGGGCAAGTGCAAAAACTATGAAGTGACATGATCAGTCCAATTAAACTTGCTCTCTTTTACTCTGTATAACTTTTACCTTTCTTTCCAACTTTCTCCTTATCAATTTACATTGTGAGCTTCTTTAATAGCGTGAATTTATGTTGATTGTGGCAGAGCATATTCAACTGGTTAAAAAGATCAACTTTTTGTGGTCTGATTCATGTTCCTAAGATATGTTGGCAATAGTTGTCATCAATATCAATCCAAAAATATTTATTTCATAGACAATCTTCCAGTTTCTTAAACCAATAACTTTGGTCTAATTATGACTAATTGAACATCCTTCAAGCTATCAATAAGGAGTTTCTGTATTTCGGGCTTCACTGGTTGGCATCGCAGCAGGATGGATATGGGATAGCGGAGCTCCGCAGAGCTCCACAAAATCCAGCTGATACCTGCTTGCCAGGATCAAAGCCTGGGTCAGCCTTTGACAGGGTCAAAGCCACCCTGGAGGGGTGGTGAAGAAAGGATGGACGCTTTGTAGATCACGAGGAAACAGCAATTTCCCCGCTTGATCCAAAAAAATCCTCCTGATCGGCAGCAGAGACGATGGCCATTTTGGCAAGACCGAAGCTATGACAACCGGGACAAGAAGATTATGAGCTGAAGCGGTTTGTGGACAGAGGATTGAAACTGGGTGAGACAACTTTCAACTTCTATTATTAGAGATTTAAACCCAAATAAAAGAGTTCTTTTAAAAAAACCTCTCCAAAATGCTAAGTGGTGATTTAACACAGAAAGATTATAGACCCAAAAGTGAAACAAACTTTTAATGAAGCTTTAAAATATAGAAATCCCGGACTGGAACTTGTAATAGTGTGAAAACTGACTTAATTTGTGGATAATACTGTCTGATTACTGGAAGAAATCATATAAGTAAAAAGGATTTTTTTTTCCTCTCCTCAATCTTTTTGACAATCAGCTGTTCTATCTTTGCTTTGTTTAATGCTGGGACTTAGAGCAGGGGTGCCACCTGTCAGAGTTTCTTGCAAAAATCAAATCCAGAAGCACACACAGATAACTGATTCAGCTGGATTCATTAACTTCTTTATATGCATAATAATACATGAAGTAAGTTTACAATACCAACAGCAGATTCAGTTTCATTTCAGCTCAGATCAGCAGGCAAGTTCACACACAGCTTCACAGCTCAGAGCTTAACACACACTGCTTTCAGTTTCTCTTTTCCCTGCACAGAATCAGAAGCTGCAGACTAAGACACTAAGGCTCCAGTCTGTCTCAGCTCCTAATTGGCTGACTTAGTTGCTATGCCTATTCATTGGCTGACCTGATTACCATGTCTTCCCAATCATGAATATTCTGACACCACCTACTGGTGAAAGAAGATATTATACTTGTACACGGTGGGAAAAGACCTTGGTAAGTGAGGATTGATTGATAACAGAAGAAAAACAAGGAGGAGAAATAGTGAAAGGCAAACAACACCTGGAAGACCTCTTTATTTTGGTTCCATATCTACTGCCATTTTGGCTGCTTGGAAATATTGAGTGAGCCTCTTGAAGATTTTTAAGGCAAGGTGGACTATAATTAACAAGAAACATCCTTGAAACTGAACACTTGATTTTGTGGATTAAAGAGATTTTGGGAAATCTGGTGGGCCAATCTGGATTATTAATACTCTCTGATAGAACACTCTACAAGGTGAAAGAAGAAAGAAGAAAAATTAAACAATATTTTAAATTTGGATAATTTTGAGGGTGCAAATTGGAAAATTTTAAGGACTATACATTTTGTACGGATTTTGAGGAACAGTATCGGGTCTGAGTAAACGTTACTAATACTGGCGTTTTTGGTGTTTCTGGGCAACTGGGATATTGGAATCTTGGTGGAATATTGAGTAACTTTCAGCCTATTAAATTATTATAAAATGTTTCAACAGGGGAAAACAAATACAGTTCATAAAGAAATAATATTGATGTTTCAATGTATTCAGGAAGATATGACAAGGAATCATAGGAAGATGATGGAACTGATGCAGGATACAGATGTGAGACTAGAAAACCCACAGTAAATGACAATAAAAGATGAACAAAAAACTCAGAAAATAGAGAAATCAGAAGGAGCTGAGGAAAGAATAGAGGAGATAAATCAAAAAATGATACAGGCAGATAAAGATATGGAAGCGATTACTCTTTAAGAGCTGAAAATATAGAAGAGAATAAAGAGAAAGATCTCCCAAAAGTGATGAAAGAATTACGGATGGTTGTTCTAGAAATCCAACAGCAAGAGATAGGTGTTGAGGCAGATGAAATACTTATAAGTATTTAATAAGTGTGATGTAAGGAGATACAAGATCCCAAGGGAGAAATATGAAAGATTTACCAAAAAGTCAATAAGAGTTGAAATTCTAAAAAGGGCAAGAGATGATGGATAGATATAGAATACTTCTTAATATGGTGGCTATTTTATTAAGAGTTAGAAAAAAGAGGTAGAAAGTAGAAATTGGGAAAATAGTATTATGTATACTGTTATATAATAGAATATATTATAATTACAATGTATACACAAATGTTAGAAGTTGAAAGATTATGATTATGTATATTTAACTAGTTTTATTATCATTAGTATTGTGTATAAAGTATATCGACCCAGCAATATATTGTTCACTAAGCACTTACGGATGTAAAAGAAAAAACTATAAATAAAATTATATAAAAAAAGAAGTTTTTTTCTTATTTTTTTGCAATGTAAGTGCTAATTTTAAAAAAAACAATTTGCAAATCAGGATGCAATATTTTACACTGATGCCAGATGCCGATTACTGTATGAAAGTTATTTATTTATTAAATTAAATTGGTGACTCTGGGCGGCTTACGATGTTAAAGAATAAAAAATACAATAACATGTATCCATTAGGAATAAAACATTAAAAAGAATAAAATACTATACAACTGCAAATTATCAGCTAAAACTAAAAGATGGATGGGTTTGAACATACAACATTAATTCATCTGCCTCTGGTTTTACTATATTGCCTTAAGAAGCATTATTGGGTTAAAAAGGTACACCAATTTCCATTGAAGAAGTTGCTAATCATATCCAGACCTAAATATTGTTCTTACCGGGTAATAGATCCCACTGATTCCAAGAAAGAACAGGAAGGAAGGATATGTTTCCAAGCTAAAAACACACAGATTTTAAAGTATACTTCATTAATGGGTTTTAGTCATTTATGTCCAATTGAACATTATATAGAACCTAACATATCCACAACAAGAAAACAGAATATTCTGCTATCCCGGTATCTTTAGCTTGCCTGCTATCATAATAGTAAACACAAGTAGATTCATCTTACAATTTATAATTTTGCTCTGCTTTTTTTGCACAATATATTCTTGATCACTGTCTTCTCAAGCAGATGCTCTGCAGCTGTCTAGAATTACATCCAAATGATCAATAGTAGCATTTCATGATGTCCAAAGACAGAGCAAGCAACATGACAGCCTGCCCCATTTATGTCCTTAGGAGAAAAGGCATATCATGAGTGCTGCATCAAAGTAACCAATATAGATTTCCACAATTCCTCTCTAATGTATAGTGAAATTCAGATGTCTTCTAGGCACCAAATCTGAAAGAAACCGGGAACGAGCACAATCCAATAGAGACTACTTACGTGTTCTGGTGTGCCCTCTGGATACAGTTAAAGATATGCCCACTTTCAGGGTCTATACTGTACATGGTTGGATACTATTGAGGGAAAAATTACATACATATATGATTTTATATATATACTGTATAGCTAAATAATATATACATTATTCCAAACCTTACAGTATATTTGTTGACATCTCCTGAAAGAAGCTGCCTTTTTTTCTTACTCATACAGTGGACAGTTAAATTGGCAAGCATATAGACAAATTAAAATTTAAAAAATACATTAATACAGCAAAGAATGATTAATAAAAATAGCATTTATAAATAGAATATTTTAATAAAGTAAAATAACTGCATTACCATGCTTTTGCCCACTTTTGTTATGAAAGTAAAAATTAGATATATGAGAAGCATAAAAATATCACAGACCATAGAATTGTGAAGTTGAAAGCAATCAAAAATATCATGTTATTCTATAATGTGCTGGAAACCAACCAACTGTATCCATAAGAGGGGGCAGATCAACATTCTCTTAGAAACTTCCAGAAATGGATAACTCACAACCTCCATTGATTAACCTTCTACTTTTGCACAGATCTTGCCCCCAGGAAGTTTTTCCTTGTATAAAACCTAAATAGCTGCACTCACAATCATTATTTCTGGTTCTAACTTCTGTTGCAATGGAAAATACTTTCTTCCCAACTTTCCCACGGCACATTTTTACAAATCTGAATGCTGATATTAAATATCCTTTGTTTTTTCTCCAACTTTTCTTCAAAATTTGATTACATGAATATTATTCAAATTCAATTTCTGTGACGTGTATGTGTGCACATGTGCATGCACACACAGGTTTGTCACTGCTTCCCCCATGATGTTTTTGATTTCTCAACCACTATTTGTTTACATTTATTGGCTGCTCTACTCCAATGGACTCTGGGTGGCATACAAAACTAGAAAAATCATAATAAAAACATTAAATCAGAATGACAGCCAGACTAAAATGATCTAATAAGCAACAAAATCAAAACAAAACAGGAGCTTTTAATAAACATTAACCCTGTATGGAGACCAAAACCAGATTTTCAAAACTTCCCAGCATCCTTGGAGAGAGGGTGCGGTCTTTATTTTGGGGGGGATGTTGTTCTGGGGAGGGGGAGAGAAGGCATGCTTCTTTAGTCTCACAAGATGACAATGTCTAATGGAGGGACCTGTAACACATCCCCTCTACTGAAATTTACTGAGTGGGCAGAACGAATTGGGAGGTAATCAGTCTCTCACATCCAGGCCCTGTTACATTTTGAACTAGCTGTAGCTTTCATGTGGTCTTCAAGGGCAGCCCCATATAGAGTGTATTGCGGGGGGAAATCTAAAATTTTTTGCTACCGGTTCTGTGGGTGTGGATTAATTAGGGGGAGGGACTTGGTGGTAAGGTGACTGGGTGGGTGTGGCCAAGTCAATGTCACTTCTTTGCCCTTTTTTAACCTACAAAACACAACACAATACAACTGGCTCACCCACAATGTAAAAGCAGCTGTGCTAGACTCAAAATGGCCCCTGCAACAAGCAGGAACCTCACAGCCACAAAAAGCCCAAAAAACCAACTTTCACACTTTACACACACAAAATTCCACATACAGCTTTGTGAGATTTTGTGTGTTTGTGTAGTTAGAGTGAGACACTACAGAAACACACTAAATCTCAGAAAGCTGCACAAATATTATTTTATTTTAATTTATTTTTATTTTTATATAAAAGCAGCTAAATTTAAAACTTTCTAAACTTTAAATGGCTAGGTCTAAAAAAAGAACAACTTAAAAAAAAACCCAATTAACTATTTTTTTAAAGGTCCCAAAGGGGAAAAAAACTTACCCAATAGAACAGGGGTCTCCAAAATTGGCAACTTTAAGACTTGTGGACTTCAACTCCCAGAATTCCTCAGCCAGCTTTGCTGGGAGTTGAAGTCCACAAGTCTAGGCAGGAAGGCAGGCAGACAGAAAGAGCTGCTCACCAATGAGCTTGATTGCAGGCAGAGAGATTCAGTTGCTTGCTGATGCATGGATTGCGATCGTCATGCGATCAGCAGCTAAGGTAAGCAAGCTGGAGGCTGGGGGGGGTGGGGAAAAAAAAGAAACTTTTTTTTCTTTTACATGGCTCTGGCGATCCAAGCTGAGTTGCCTGATTATCAGGCAACTCAGCTGGGATGTCAGAGCTTGGCTGGTCAGAGCCATTTAAAAGTAAAAAAAGTCTCTGATGATCGCGGGGCTCAGCTGGGCATGGGGGGCGGGGGCAGGGATTTTTGCTACCGGTTCTCCAAACTGCCCGCCACCATCGCTACCTACTCGCCCAAGCCTGTCCGAACCGGGAGCATTTCACCCCTGGTGTATTGCAACAATCCAGATGTGAGGTGACCCCGGGCTAGCCTACAGTCCTAGTATTTCATGCTGATCCAATTTCTAATCAGCATTGACCTTTACTTGAGTACCGTCCCAGCGAACTAGGTAGTGATAGCTTGCTAGGCAGGTAATACATTTCAGTAAATCCCCAAAAAGTGATTAGTAGAATTGCTGCAACATAGAGTTATCATACATGGTACAGTAATTTGACTTTCTAGTGATAATGATAAATACAAGAGTATTCCAAGTGATAAACCTAATTCTTGAGAAGTGAAATCCTGATCAGAACAAGATGACCTTTCCCCCACAAGAAAAAATAAACCTCCCAATAATTTGTCTCGCTTGTCCAGACTAAGCTATTGGCTCTCAGAAAACACTAGGTCATATTGATTAATATAAAATGAGAAAAAAAAGAGAGGAAGGGTCAGTTGTTTATGCAGCTATCATAAATCTGGATAACTAGATTATTTTTAAGCTTTTTAGTACTTAAATGCTATATAAAACAAAGCAAAAAATGTGTATTATACCTATCCTAGGGCAGAAATATTTCAGAATCATCACATTTCAGAATTGACATCTAAATATAAGCAAAACCTCTGCTTCTAACTCAAGCCAAGGGATACATTAGCTCATGGTACTGAAAGTGGCAGAGAGGTCCAAGAAAAGTAACAGAGCCATATACTGTATCCACTGTCACTGTTCCGCTACATTTCAGTTTCTGTATTAAAACAAGACCTGAAACCTGAGGTATACAAAACATTTCAAACTATAACCTCACTGGAAGCATTCCAATCCTGTCCAGCTTTCCTGATTTTACAAAAACAGCTAATGGATTCATTTTAAGAGCACATCTCCAGTTGAAACCAGAGAGAATTACCGTATTTTTTGGAGTATAAGAGCACCTACCTTTTTTGGTGGGTTTTTTTTTAAGTTTTTTTTTTTTTTTTAGACAAACACACATACAAACATACAATGTATTTTCTTTGAACAGAGTATTTGGCTGGTTCACAAATTTAAACAGTGTTTAGTCATTTCAATTAAATTTACAATTTCTATATTTCCTTTTTTCCATATTTATTCCTCATCTATTTTTTTTTAAAAAAATAATATTACCCTTCATCATCTCTAATCTTAATCAAATTCATTTTTTCCCTTCTATTCTATATTATACCCCTTCCCATTGTCATCTATTTTTATATCCATCCTCACATTGGTTAATTATGTAATATTACAATTGTTTAATACAAATTCAACATTTTAATATAAATCAATGTTATATAACTATCTTTTTTGTATATTAATCAATATGAACATGAATATTCCAATTATTTCCATGCAATCCAATTTCTTACAAATCAATTAATTATATTTACCAATAATAATAAACCAAATAATTGTCCCCTCTTATGTTACTCATTTTCACATCTTAAACTCTCCCAACCTCTTCAAGGTTGACTCAGCCTTGCATCCTTTCGAGGTAGGTAAAAAGGAGGACCCGGATTGTGGGGGCAATAAGCTGACTTTGTATAAAAAAGAACACCGCTTGGGTATACAAAAGTATGAAGGCTATTGCTTAACGCATTGTAAGCCACCCTGAGTCTCCGGAAAAGGGCAGCATATAAATCGAACCAATAAATAAATAAATAAATAACCCACATAGTTTTGCCCATATAATCCTCCAAATCACAACTTAATCATTTCTACTTTCATCACAACATATAATTAAAAATATTTCAATCATTACAATTTCCCTAATTAAATTTAAAAATTTCTAGCTGTTATCCAAGCTATAATTTAATCCTTTTTACTTTCACCACCATATACCATTAAAGCAGTGGTGGGATTCAGCTGGTTTGCACCAGTTCGCCCGAACCGGTAGCTAACCACGCCCAGCCACGCCCCTTGCCCCTCCCAGCCACTCGCCTCGGATGAGGCTGATATGTAATGCCTTTTCTCTTGCCGCGCGGCCCTCCCAATCAGCATTTCCCTAAACAAGAAAGCTGGCCGGGGTCAGTCCTAACTTTGCTATCCATCGCAGCTAGGAATCTCAAATAAAGCCGAGAATGAATGTTTCTGTTTCAGCCAATCTGGGCACTAGCTAGGCAGGCAGCCTGCAAACTCCGTGGTCTTCCGAGGAGCCCGGCCAAAGTTTCACTCGCTGAGGCAACAGGACTCCTGATCACGGGATGGGGTCCTTTGGGCACTTAGTTTGGCTACCTATTAGCTCCAGCCCCTCCCTCCGCCTCAGCACATGGCGTGCAAAAGTTCGGCCGGGTTCCTCGAAAGACAGAGTTTGCAGGAGGCCGATCTAGGGGCTGGTTGTAGCACAAACGCTCATTTTGGGCTTTGAGATTCCTAGCTGCAATGGGCAGCAAAGCTAGGTTCGTCCCTCCAATCCAGCAGCTGAAAAAGGGGGTGGAGAGAAACAGTCCCGTTGCCAAGGTACATGTGGGTCGGAGTGGGGAAGAAATGCAAACTTCAGTTTCCTGGTGCGGTGTGGAGCTTTGGGCAAAGGCTGGCGGGAAGGGCCTCTGACTCGCTCGCGCTCTCTCCCTCCCCAGTCTAGGTTGACGCAGGTAGCAGCTCACATTGCCCTTTCCAAGCCTGCTGTCGGTGAAGCTGGGTGTTGATGAGGGCTGGCTTTTTGCTTAGCTTTCTCCGGCTGTCGGGGGGGGGAGGGAACGGACAGGGATCTGG